TTTATTTTATGCGCCATCAAATCCACCTCTGGAGGGAAGAGGGTCTTCAACAGGGGCGATGACATGACACATTTTAGTCACACTGCAGGCAGAGCGGGAGAGTCCTGAGAAAAATGAATCAAAACGATTATTTCCAAATAAGCAAACAACAACAACAACAAAAAATAAAATAAAATAAAAGATGTATTTATTGTTATTCATATCGAATGAAACGTGATCTTTCATTCGACACGTGCGTATTTACGCACGGAGAAACTTCATCGTTCGAATATTTCATTATTTCAGCTGTAAATGTTGCAAAACTAAATCTCGGCAAAGGAAAATTAAAGTTCTCTTTGTTCTTCATGGCCCACATTTTTTTTCCTGCTCATGATAATTAAATGATGTAATAATGCAACCAACGCTTAATCTATTCTAAAACAGGCTGATGGGAAATGAATGTGCAGCTTCATTTTAGATGAGCGCAGAGGAGGAAGGTCTGCACCGTGAGCTTGTCTATCTAAATATTTAAACAAACATTTAATTACATTAATTTGTCCGTTTTTGTATTTAATTACTCTTCCTAATAAATCTGCATCATGGTGATCTTTTACGCTTTTGCGTGCTTTTTTAACAAACTCCACAACAACAGGGTTAATATCCAGAATCGATCATGCCCGATGGTTGAAACGGGAAAAAAACTGCTTTGGGCTGACGGGAGATGTTTTTGTCGGAGTTTTTTTTGTTGTTGGTGGTGGTGATGGATGGAGCTGGCAGCCTTCCTCTCTGACTGACAGCTTCACTCGGATTCTCAGGGAGGGGACACGAACCGGGCCGGGCCTCCCGCGTGGCTTTGTCTCATCCCTCATTTAAGCCTTTATCCGCACGTCTCTGTCCCTTTTCCACCTCTGCGCGTCTTCATCAGGAGCGCGCAGCCATGCGTCGTGCAGATAACCTGCGCTCGGATGGACCACCATCCCAAACCGTTACAGGCTGGGAGGGTTCGGTGAACGCTCAGGACAATTTGCGTCCAAAATGAGAGAGGAGCCATTTGTTATTTGTCATAGTTTGTGATATATTAAATGCACCGAGTAGTTTAATCGGAGACCATATTATTCAATGATTAATAATAGGTGTTCTCTATTAGAGACAACCTGCACGTTTCTGTCCTCCACACTGTTTTCCCTAATGACCAGCGGGGCCATAATCCCTAAAGTCAGGGTTCCTCTCTCAGGGTCCCTCAGGAGTCTCTAGGGGACCATTGTGTCGCCCCGTGTTGACTCAGACGCAATGAATGCCAAAGCTCTCCGTTACTGTTTCCGTCCCATCGGCCCCATGAATGTAAAAGTCCAAAGTTAAAACCTCAGCGGAGGAAAGGTCCCCGCCCCCCCCCCCCGCCTCTCCCACCCCTGACTGCGCGGCGTGGATCACTATGGGGCGGATTAGTGGCCTGGAAGGGACCGGTTCCTCCTTTTGAAGGGATTAGTTTGCTTGAAAGCGGGAGAGCGAGATTCGCTCCTGGATGCTTTTTTTTTTTTTTTTTTTTTTTTTAAGGGGGGGATGTGGAGACGAGTCTAACTTTGAAACAGTTTTTAAGTTTCTCGGTAAACTCACCTCTGAACCCTGTGGACGGAGATGCGCAACAGACGGCTGGCGCCTGGATGGAAGAATGAAACCTCGTTTTGTTGAAATGCGCGCATCCAGCGGCCTCCTCATTCTGCTCCACTAAATATTTTACTCACCTGTTTTTCTAAACAGATGGGGCTGGGATTAAATTCTGAATTACAGTGATTATCACCTAAATAAGGTCATATAAGCTAAATTTAATTTTGGACCCAATTCTAGTGAAGCCCACCATCTACCACAGCAGCACTGAACTCTTTGACCCCTGCTTATTTATTTGTTGCTTCTTTTTTTTTTTTTTGTCTTTGCTTTGAGGTTTTTTTAAAGTTTTTTTGTGGTTGTTGTTGATTTTACTTTTTATTTGTCGCTTTTTCAAATTTTCTTAGCATTTCAAAATTTTTTATTTCTTTTAACAATGTATTTATTTATTCAGTGCCATATACAGCTAGAAAAATAAATAAATTCTTACTCCCCGGCTCACTCTCATACAGTTACATGCATCCAATGTGTTCTCAGCTCAGACATAAACAACATAAATGATTGAATCACTTTTGAATTACGACTCTGTTAACATATCTCTGACTGTGTCTGTCAACATAATCCCATCGAGAGCCCAGATTTCCCCAAGCCTGCAGTCAGATTTCTTAAAAAAAAAACAACACACTCCCCCAGGTTTTATCAAAACAGGAGTATGGAGTCCCTCTAGGTTTTGTTTTAGGATCACTGCTGATGACGCCAAATGTACGCTGACGACACTGTGGTGTGAGCACCAAAACTGCTCTGGTAAAATATGGTAAATAGTTTATTTCCCATCCATCTCCGCGTCTGAATCCAAAACTATTTGGACAGTTTTTATGAGAGCAGCGATTGGCATAGAGTCCAATATTCAAATATCTAAGGTAACATGTTTGCCCATCGACTTTGCTTCTAGTATCACATAAAAAAATAAGAAGAACATCATGAAATGCAATTTGGCTAGCTTCAGATTCATTAGAAACGATTTGTAGTCCAATGTTTGTTTTGGTTCAGTAGATTATTGCTTATCTTTGCAACATATAATCAGACCTTTTATGAGCATTTTATGTTTAAACAATAGAGCTGAGTCTGCTTCTTTTTTTTTTCTCAGGAAAGGTGCAAAACTCTGTCCTTGTGCAGGAAATGTTTGACCGAGGCTGGTCAAAGATTTTGTGGGGCCTTAAGCAGAAATAGATTTGGGTGCCCAAGTTTGACTGTTTGTGTCTTCTGCATTTGAAAACCTCAAATTCCATCATTTGATTAATAGCCAACAGTTAAATAATTTTAAAAAAATTGAGTGCAGCACTAAAGATGTTTGCTTCACCCCTTCAAATATTTGACGACTACTGGTAATTTGTCAGTTTTCTAAGTAAATTTGCTTTTTTTTTTAAAAACTTTTTTGTTATGTGTTTACTTTAAATTTGCTGCCCAGAAACTGTTGAAGCAAATCGAAAAGTAGTCTACTCTTCACATATGTGACTAGCAATCTCTAGGTTTTGACATCTGATCTTTGTGAGATCTCAAACACCCCTATAGCTCCCACTACTGGCCTGGAGGTCCTTAGCACAGCAGCTCAGTTTGGTTATATCTTGTCTCAACACAGTTTATCACTTTAGATTATGATTTTACTCATATTAAAAAAACAAACAATATCTATACATATTGTTATGTGCAAGAAGTTGATTCTTTTCAATTCTATTCTGTTTTGTTGTTGTTGTTGTTTTTTAATTTATTTATTTTTGCTCCACTCTGCAGTATAAACTGAGCACCAGGAGCCTCCCATGCTTCATTCATCCTCCGACTCTGCACCAACCACGCCACCACTGCTGTAAACAGATCTTATTATTACTAAAGTGAACGCAGAGTGGTGGGTTAATGCCATTAAGGGGCATCATCACGCAGCCTCTGGTCAAGCGGAGATAAGAGTGCGCACTTTTGAGCCTTTATTATGACATTTTCCGCGCGGGCGCGCAGGCCAAACTCAATTAATTCCCTCCCCGTACGAGCGCAACGTAATTTTTGGTTTGTGGATCGTATTATTCGGTGAAGTTTACCCTCTAATAAAAAGCCTGTTAATTCCACCAAGGGCGCACATAAAGCAGGGGAGCAGCAGAGTGAAAAACGAAGCATCCGTTCGTGTTTGGGAAGCTTTGCGCTCTTGCGATGCCTCCCGGTTTCGGAGCCTCTGTGTCACGGAGGGGCCGCGTGGGATATGACTTATCGCGTTGCATGACACCGTACAATAAACTTAAACCAATTTATGACGCGTCAATGCGTTTATGGTTAGCCCGACGCGTCGCGCCGCGCCGCGCCGCGCTCCCCCCGACCCCCACCCCTCCTCCTCTCCGGTCCGATACATCAAACTGACGCGCACTCTGGTGACATGTCGGTAAAAAGTGATCGGAATCAAATCAGAGCTTTTAATCTCGCCAATCACCGTCACATCTGGACGTTTTCCCCGCACATAAGGACTCGGCGGAGGAGCTGCGGCGCGTCAGTTGGAGACGCAGAGGAACTGGCCGGCTTTTCGAGATGCGCGGGGCCTCGCTGCTGGAGCGCCGTCTAACAGGAATTATGCGCACATTATAATAGTAATTATAATAGTCTTTAAAAAAAAAAAAAGAAAGAAAAGAAAAAGAAGCGATTGTAAAAAAACAATAATAATAAGCATTAATATTTATGCAAAGTCTGCCCCGACTGACAATGAATTTGTGAAAAGGCCTCAAGACCAAGTTTATAATGAAAAATGACATTTAAAAAAAAATCCTAACATCATTTTAGCGAAAAAATGTAAAGTTTTCTATCTTTTTTTTAATGAAATCCTCATGGACTTTTTCATATATCAGTATCTCAATCCAACAGTCCCAATGGCTTCCAGCTGTATGATTCACTACAAACAGCATTAACTAAATTGAATTTGACTAAATTCCATTATAACTTGGATCATCCAACTTGAAGTGAAATCTTCCTGTGTGGTTCGATGACGCTGAAGTGATTCAACGTAAATATATATTTCTCCAGCAAACGAGTTGAATCTGTTTGTCTGCGTCGAATGAACTGAAATCAGGACACAGATGAACTGAACCGAACTGAACCGAACTGAACCCGTTCAATGAACGCGAGTTTATGGAAGCGTGAGAATGATGGTCGATTCTCGTCACATCTGGGCTGAGCTGGAGAATTAGTAATAGATGCGTCCGGTAAAGGAAGCAGGGGCTTTTTAAGTGATTTGATGGGGGGGGGAGGTTCGGTGGTTTTAACTAACGCCGTGGACCGCGTGGGCGGTGCGATGATCTTTTGGGGGGGGGGGGGGGGGGGGCACAGTCTGTTTCCGCGCTCACTCGCTGGCGGCATTGTCATGGAAACAAGACCACCGCTTCGCCATTGTCTCGCGCCCTGCCGAGTTTATTATAAGCGCCGCGCGAGCCGCAGCGCGCTGTCAAACGGAGCGCAGCGCGGAGAGGAGAGGAGAGCTGAAGACACGCACAGACAGAGGAGGTGAAAGAGAAGAGAGAGAGAGAGAGAGAGAGAGAGAGAGAGAGAGAGAGAGAGAGAGAGAGAGAGAGAGAGAGAGAGAGTGCAAAGAACACATCTGGATTACCGCAGGGAGCCCCTCCACACAGAGATATACAAACCAAAAGAGTTTGAGGGAGGGGAAAGTTTGGAGAACCTGGAGAGAAGAAGCCCGACTCCGACGCGCCGTCACCGTCGAGAGACGAGCAGCAGCTGCGTGAAAAAGCCGCGGACCGGGGTCTGCGCCGGCTCTCCTCCATGTATAAGATGGATTACTCCTACCTGAACTCCTACGACTCCTGCATGGCGGCCATGGAAGCGTCGGCCTACGCGGACTTCAGCTCCTGCAGCCAGGCCAGCTCCTTCCAGTACAACCCGATCCGGAGCGGGCCGTTCTCCAACCCGGGCTGCACGCCGCTGAGCACGGCCAGCTGCACGCTGGGGGCCCTGCGAGAGCACCAGCCCACACCGTACTCCTCCGGTAGGACGCGGCCGCCCGCCTTCGCTCTGCTCTGAGGTCTTACTGGCTGCACAGCCAAGAGGGACGAGTTAGACTTAGAGAGCTGCAGCTGTTTTAATGGTTCACTTGATTCGAACAATGTAAAAAAAAATAAAATAAATAAAAATAACCAAAAGCTATTTTTTAAAGAACTCAAGAACTGGACTTTCTCAACCGTAAACGCTATGACACAAATTATAACTATAATTTATCTTAATGTCATAAATGATTCCGTTCTCAGCACGAGATGTGCAAGAATAACGAGGCAATACAAATATTATTTCATCCGTTTATTAACAACAATTCTGTTGTTATTAAAATGCCTAATTTAATTGAATTAATGCATAAACAAAAATGACGGTATTTTGCACTGTGTCTGAATGAATATCATGAAATACTCTAAACTCTCAAATATTTATGAATTTGTTCATTCTCAAATCTCAACGAACAATTGCTGAGTTAAATAAAACCGATTTTCATTGAGATTAAAAAGTATTAATATATTTTACTTTTTCCGAATAATAAGGCCGACTATTTTTCAATTTAGAAAAAATATATTTTTTGTATATTTAATGCAATTTTTATGAATTAAAAATATCCGGATTCGAAGCGACTCTGCCGTTTTTACGCACCGCGCATTGAGATTCCAATCACACGCCAATCGTTGTTTGCTCCATCAAAAAAAAAGAAAAAAAAAAAAAAAAAAAAAGAAACAATTGTCACTCTCTTTCAGTTCCCTACAAGTTCTTCTCGGACCCTTCCGGACTGAACGAGAAGAGGAAGCAGCGGCGCATCAGGACCACCTTCACCAGCTCCCAGCTGAAGGAGCTGGAGCGAGTCTTCGCCGAGACGCACTACCCGGACATCTACACCCGAGAGGAGCTGGCGCTGAAAATAGATCTGACCGAGGCCCGGGTCCAGGTGAGGGCAATAGTCTTTTCTGTGTGTCCTTCTGCATGGTGCACCTCCAGAAAGCTCTTTGGTTGGCTTATTGGGGCCTCTAAAGATTGTGAGACACAACAAATGATTACTAAAAACGAGGAGTTTTATGGTAATTAGAGAAAAGTTATGCGCCTCACTAAAACTGCATCTCCTTTGTTTTCATGTTAATAAATATTTCTATACATAAGTGTGTGTGGATGGAGGGTTGGCCTCTCCTTGTCCTCACTTGGTGGCTGCTACTGCATGTCCACCTGCTATGGTCCGTCCACCCTAAAGGTTCCTGTGTTTGTGCCTACAGGTGTGGTTCCAGAACAGGCGTGCCAAGTTCCGCAAGCAGGAGAGGGCAGCCAATGCCAAGGCCAACAGCTCTGGTGGCAACACGGGGAGCAGCAGCAGCAGCAGCTCTGGGGGGAAGAAAGGTGGAGAAACGAGATCTTCGTCGGATGACGACGAGTCCAAGGAGTCCACCTGCAGCCCCACACCCGACAGCACCGCTTCCCTGCCCGGCTCGGCCAACGGGAACCTGGGGAGCCCCGCCAGCCTGAGCCCCAGCCCGGCCCCCGCCAACAGCGGCTACACCAACGCCTCCAGCTCCCCGGTCCTGCAGGGGCTGAAGCCCCCCAGCTGGTCCAGCCTGGGGCCGTCCAACCCAGCTGTGGCCCAGCCGGCTGCTCAGACTCAGGAGATTCTGAAGGCCTGGCAGCCGGCGGACAGTATGACCGGGCCTTTCGCCGGAGTCCTGTCGTCCTTCCACAGAAAACCCAATCCTGGCATCAAGACAAATCTGTTCTGAGGTAGAGAGGGGGAGAAGACGAGGACCAATCAGGAATAGATGAGAGCTTCAAACTTTTTTTCTTTGTTTTTTTTTTTTAAGTGGAGAAACAAAAGATGCCCATCAAGTTCTGGTCAGAGGCCAGAAAATACCAGGTCTGGTAGTCCAGGCGTGTTATGAAGCTGTACAGAATCAGCTTGGATGTGGACAGATTACAGATTCCTAAAACTTTCTCTATTTAATGACTTTGAACTCTGCATTACAGGCGTTCAAGTTGTCTCCTGAACACTTCCTAGCATCTTCTCTGTTTTTGTTGCGTACTCACATTCCCACACTCTGTGCAGCAGCTCTGATGAAGTATGGAGGTCAGGTACGACCTAAAAGCAGAAATCCAAACATCGCTCATCTTTGCTGAGGAAACAAAGCAAACCTTTACCCTCAAGCACAACTAGATACACAGACTTTTTTTTTTTTTAAATGGCCCCAAATCTCTCTTTGCTGAGCGGAACGGGGGTGCCTCAAAATCCAATTAGAGCTGGTGGGTTCAGACTAGACGCCTCCCCAGATCGGCTCATTCCCTCGTCCGAATGTGACGTCTTAGAAAACAGTTGCCACTTTTGGCGAATCTCAAAAGGGAGACGGTTTTTGAGTCAAACTTGTAGTTTAAGCTTGGAAATTTGTGGGTCTGACTGCATAATGGATCTGTTCTGCTGATGGTAAAGCAATGCAATCCGTCCCTCACTTAAGACTGAAGAGGTTGCTTCCCCTTCCCTCCACCTGCTTTAATCAACTTTTCAGACCAAACCAGAATTACTTGTTCTAAACCTACATAAAATGTCCTGTTTTGTCCCTTAATGCCTCAGTTTTGGGCTTTTTCATGCATTCCTCAGAATGAAAAAAAAAAAAACAACAAAAAAAACCCCAACATGTATTTATTAATATTTTTCACACATCTTTGAATGGCTGTAAATTCTGTAGATAGTAATATAAATATTAGATAGTCGTCCCACTTTTTTTTCTGGCTTTACAGTCCTACTTCACTGCAGAGCGTCTGTCTCACAGGAACATGTGAAGCTCTGTTGAATGAGAAGTTACAGCACTATGAATATTCTAATAAATCTACATAATGAAGGCACTACCTGACAACATCTCATGATCTGGTTTCTTGCATGTGACAGAATAAGGTGTTACGACATTTTATTTGACCGAATCTCCTGAAGTTAAAAACATGTACAGTCCAACGGACAAGAAAAAGCGGTAACCCCGTGAACAAAAGGAAAACTATTAGACTTTTATTGAAAAAAACAACGGGTGACAATTTACATTAACTTAATACGAGCAAAACTCAAGGCTACATATAATTGGAGTGTAGGAGGAGAAAATTAACACGGGTAAGTCTCCATTTCACGCACACACACAAATATGAAACACATCTCTGAGAACACTGAAAGGCCTGAAAAGATTAGACACATTGAAATGACATATTTGCTTTGCAATTTGAAATAAGTGTGTGGCGAACAACACTGGGATCAACGGACTGGGAAACTTTTTCTACAAACAAATGATTGATTTCTACATCAGAGGACTCATTTAAAGTTTTCCTTCAAACATTCTTTCACTCTAAGCTGTTAAAATGACCATAAATAGCATAGTGTGATTCTATAAAAAATTAAAATAGTATAGCTCGTTATTTAAAACTAAAGAGGTCAATGGAAAACCTCTGGTAGGAACTTATTTCAAGGGCGAGCGTCTGCAGAGGCCGTTTCAGCGAAATAGCACCACCTGCTGGGCAAATTAGGGAGCACAATATGTGCAAAGTGTTCGAGGGGGAACAATTCCCATGAGCACAACATATGGCCCTAAAATACAGAAACATCTGAAATTATGAGAATAAATCTATGTCTTAACCATAGTATGACACAATCAGCAGTGTGATGGTTTATTAAATCTGTTCCTGTAATTACACCCGGCTATGTTAACCGACTCCCTGAACGCTGTGGCATTTCAAACGTGAAATTGAACAAATAAAAATTGAACACTAATGACACAAGTGCAGGCTCAGAAATTTGAGGCTTAAATAAAAGATGTAATATTCAGTCTCATCAGAGCTCGGTGCAGCATTCATGACTTGAAATGCACAGCCTTGCTCACTTTTACAGGAATTGTTCAGAGCTGGCATATTGGCGTCCGTGGGAAAATAAAACATTTACGCTACAAGGATCTTCTTTCCAGTACTGTCAAAATGACGGCATCAGTCGTGCAAGAATGGTATGACAAAAATGCTGCATCAAGGTGAAAATACACAGTTCCAGCTTTATATGGATCAATTTGGTTAGCTGAAAATTCCCTTTATAATAAAACATAAACATATAAATACATGCAGCGACACTCACTACCAGCCATAAACCAAATAAACTGCAGCCCAGACATCATTACAACAAAATACACAATCTGATTTGAAAAAGTTAACTCAGATCTATCAAAATTCACCCGCCTAGCTTCCTTTCTGCCGCTGCACACTCATCAAACAATAATTTCCAAAAATTAGGCTTAGAAATCCTCAAATGTGCCCAATTTGAATGAATCCTCAAAGAATTCAGTTCTCAAAAAAAAAAAAAAAAATGAAAGGAAAAAGAAATGTGCTTTAAATATCTTGCAATTACAGGTCAGATCTGATGTCACAGCACCGATTGCACCTCCCCACGCATCAGTTTTACCTTTGTAACTCAAAAAAAACATTGGATTTACAGTGAGGGGTTCTATAGTGATGCTCCGAGGACTGAAATGATTAAATAAGGCCACATCTATGACAATAACAACACACATACAGTACAAATGAAAGAGGACGTTGGATCAGCAAATGTTCTTGAAAGTACAAATGGAGTGCAATTTTCTCTCAGAAGGCACTGTCTGGCATCAGTTAGCGGGTTCCAGCTCGGATCGGGTCGGTTCAGCTGAGAGCCGCCGGTTTGGACGGGTCAAAAAATCCAGTCTGCAGCAGCTCATTTCTGCTGCTGCTGCTGCCTGAGGCTCTCCAGCAGGATCTGCTTGTGAGCGGGATCCAGGACCCCGGCCTCCTCCAGGTCCTCCTCTGTGATGTCACTGGAAACAGAGAAAATGACAAGAGTGGAAAATCACAACAAAATAAAAACAACACAGGAATGAGTGCACAATTTTCAATATGTAGAAGTGTTTAGTTAACCTGAATAAAATGAGTTTTCTCCAACAGATCCATGTTTTATGTGAAGTCAATACATTTCAGCCAGTTGCTTCCAGTTCATAAACGGTTTGAGCAGAAACGTCAGTGATGCCCAAAGTCGGCCCTCGAGGACCGACTTTGGGCATCACTGATAAACATCACAAACTTCCCTTCCAGCTTCCGTTCATCATTGTGTTTGAATCAGAATGTTACAGATTAAAAACAGACATTTAAATAAACATAACTGTTTCTCGTAATCAGAAAAGCTAAATAATCAACCACAAGTTTTCTGAAAACCATTTTAGGTCCCATTGCAACCTGCTGAAAGTGCATGTGTATGTTTGAAAATTACTGCACATGCTTTAAAATGTTATAAAGTTTCACATCGTATTGTTAAATCACCCTAAAATACATCAAATATATCATTAAAAGCCAAACATTAATGATATATTCATAGTTTTTCACTTTTCAAACCATTAATTTGCAGTTATGATACGAAAGTGTCATGTACTTTTGTTATTACTGTCATCAGTAAAAATATGCAAAGATTAAAGAAAACAGTCAAATACATGGAGCTCATATTTCAGGGGCTTTTCCTGCAAACTAAGTGGTCACTTGCTGCCCGGGTCTTTCATTCCAGTTCACCACAGCATTAACACAAACACAGGCGGTGTGTGTTTGTGACGACGGCTACCTGAGGAACTCCAGATCGTCCCAGCCGTTGTGCAGAAGCCCCTGCTCGTATCGCTCCAGTCCCAGTCTCTGCAGCCACTCCCCCACCGACGACTCTCCCACAGACAAAGATGAGCTACTGCTGCCCCACAGTGCCTGGACAGGAGAAATGCAGCATCAGCAAAGCACATCTGACGATAACCATTTATTACTTCTTTTTTAGGCAACTGAATGAATGTGAATAAGTGACACACAAAACATGCGCCTCTCTAGGATACTAGTCACATTAAGAAGAAGTAAGATTTACATCATTAAACGGCACACAGTAACTGCATTTAATCATATGATCAAATATATTCATATTTGTTGATGCGGCTATTGAACAAGCATCGGCGAAAGTAGTTTAACTAACAATCCTGACAATAGGGACAGTTTTATTTTTAAACATTAATGAATTTATGATGAGAAATCTATCACGACAAATGATAAACAATACGACAAATGCCTACCCCCAGTTAACGACTCCTTGAAAAGTACTCAAAGTTACAAACATCCATGTTTCTCTTTATGTGATGAACCAAGCAAAGATAATCATTGCTGAAAGATGACTGAACACAGCAAATATGAAGAAGCTGATCTGGTTAAATGTGACACGTGAAGAAAGGGTGGCGGAAGCATCATGCTGTGGGGATGCCTTTCTTTGCCAGGGACAGGGAAGCTGATGGGAAGATCAGTTTTCTTTAATCAGATTTAGGTGGAGCCTCTTAACAGGCAAATCTGTTAAGCGGCTGGAAAACACTAGAAACTGGAGCGACGGTTCACCTTCAGCTCTAAATATTCAGACAGAGCTTCAATGGACTGGTTTATATCACAGCATATCCATTGTGCTGTGGATATGCCACAACATGGGTCTGAATAATTTTAGGCTAGACTGTCTCACCTCCTCTGGCATGTCCTCTGCTATGCTCTCTGGGATGGGGTTCCTGGGTGGGAAGGTGCGGCAGGCATCCAGGATACCGATCGTTGGCACTCGAACTGGGGGTGGCGCTGAGGGAGCGCGAGGCGGTTGTCCGGGAAACTCACTCTCACTCAGAGTCTTTGCCATCTGCAGCACAGAGCACGACTGATCGTCCAACGCCCCGGCCGCCCCTCGCCTGAAACCGTCTCCCAAGGCCAGAGGCCCCGCGGGTCCGGCCGGCGGGATCCTGACCTCGGCCAGGTCCGGGTAGAGAGCGCGAGGCTTGCTGAGTTGGGCCTCCGCCGCCGTCTCCAGGGCTCCCTTAGGGAGAGGAGGAGGAGGGAAGTCGGGAGGGGGGCGATTCAGGGTGCTGCCAACTGTTCCTCCGATGCCTCCACTTTGAGCGCCAGCCAGGGCAGCGCCAGCCAGGGCAGCGCCTCCGTCATCCTCCGAGGAGCTCTCCTCACTGACTCCGCGGGCTGGGTGTCCTGACACAGTTCTGCGGGAGTGAGTGGGTCCAGAGGCTGCAGGAGGAGGTTTGGTTCGAGCCCCAGCTGAGGAAGGTGGGGCTTTAACGGGCGGGGCGGTCGGAGAGGTAGGAGAGGAGAGGAGCTCAGCAGCTGATGGATGGGGAACGCCCTCCAGGATGTAGTAGGCCGGGTTGTTGAAGCTGTTTTTGCCGATCGAGGAATCACCGTCTGGCGTGTCCTGTTTGGATCTTTACAATACAGACAGAATCAAAACATCCAACATTGTAATCTGTTTTTAGCTGGATATGGTTTATCTGATTGGTTTATGAATACAAGAGTCTGTCATGAGTTCGTACCTTGCAGCATTTTCCTCCTTGCAGTTTTTTTCTCCCTCCTCGTTGACCTTCCCCAGCTCTCCCAGCTGTTTACGAACCACAGACTGTCTGCACCACAAGCCAGTCAAAACAATTTAACATGCAGCTCCAAAAAGATGCTGACCAAGCCATTCAGAAATCAAAATATATAATAAAAACATGTTCTACATGTCAAACTTAATTTCAAAATACCAAATGATTTAATAACTCTGTTAAAAAACATTCAGTCAAATATTTGAATTTCAGCCATTTTGCTGGATTTGTTCCCTTTCTCATCATAAATCCTCAGCTCTGATTGGCTGATAATCGGTTTCAAACTCCTGAAACTGTTTTCATTCCCGCAGGACTATAAAACTCCCGATCAATCATCAACTAAAAGATCTACGTTAAAATTACAAGAATGTCCAACTCCTAACATTAAAAAGCAAGTGATAGGAGTACAGATTTTTTCAGAAGTGTTGAATATTGGTGTGGT